CTTTTTGAGACAGGGTCTCCCTGTAGCCCCAGCTGACCTGGAACTCACTAGGTAGACCAGGCTGGCCTTGAACTCCCAGAGATCCGCCTGCCTCTGCCTCCCAAGTGCTGGGATTAAAGGCATGCACCACCACGCCCAGCTTATTTTTATATTTATGTGTGTGTGTGTGTGTGTGTCTGTGTCTGTGCATGTACATACTGCAACACTCATGAAGAGGTCAGAGTACAACTTTCATGGGTCAATTTTTTCCTTCCACCACATGAATCTCTGGGAAAGAGGCTGGGGAGATGACTCAGCAGATAAAGCATTTGCCCTGCAAGCAAGAGGGCTGTAGTTCAAATCCCTAGAACACACATAAAAAGCAGGTGGGTATGGTGGCCTGCCTGGAATCCCAGAGTGTGGGGAGTAGTGCTAGGGAATCTCAGACTAGTCAAAATGATGAGGTCCAGAGACCTGCCTAACATACACGGTTGAGAGGTGGTAGTGAGATGACTGGACAGGTAAAGGGATTTGCCTCAAAACCTGACAAAGCACTTTACTAACTGAGCTAGCTTCACAGCTTCATGTCCCTAGTTTGAGACAAGGTGTCACTAAACTATAGAGCTAAATTATAGGGCTAAATCTTGAGCTACTCCCTCGGAAGGGTGAGAAAGTCTTGCAAAATATTTTAAGAGGCAAAACAAGCAGCCAAGAAGAATCCAAGGTCACAAAGGGTTTTAAACTTTGAAGTGTCTGCAAAATTTCACTTGAGACAAAGACAACAGGGACAACCTAGTCTTTGTTGTTTTTTAAAATATTTTATTTTTATTTTATGTGTATGAGTATATTGCCTGCATGTATGTGAGTGTACCCGTCGGGCAATGCTGCAGAGGTCAGAAGAGGGCTTCAGATTCCCCTGGAACTGGAGTTAAGGACAGTTCATAGCCACCACGTGGGTGCTGGGAATCAAACCCAGGTCCTCTGCAAGAGTAGTCAGTGTTCTTAACTGCTGAGCCATCTCTCCAGCCTCCCTAGTCTTAGTTGTATCGTGTTACATGGTGTGATGGTTAGTCTTGGTTGTCAACTTGACTGGATCTGGAATCAACTAAGATAAGCTGCTGGGTATGCTTGAGAGTTTTCTCTTTCTTTTTCCTATTCTTTTTTTTTTTTTTTTTTTTTTTTGATAGGGTCTCACTATGTAGAATGGCCTAGAACTCACTATGTAGACTAGGCTGGCCTCAAGCTCACAGAGATCCTCTGCCTCAGGAGTGATAAGATTAAAGGTATGCACCAGCACACCCAGCTTGAGGGATTTTCTTGATGAGGTTATTTGAAGTGGGAAAACCTACTCTAAATGTGTGCAGCACCTTCTTCAGGCAACCCAGATAAAAGGAGGTCTGATGGGAAACGTTTTGCTTTTTGCCCTCTTGTGACAGTAGTCAGTTCATCTCCCAGTTCATCTACACTGTTGCTGCCACTGCCACTACTGCTTTCCTTCAATGATATCAGAACCCAGATTCTTTGAGCTTCCAATGTGGACTGAAGACTAGTGACTCTCCAGGAATCTTCCAGTCCTTCAGTGCTAGATTGGGACTGCTAAGACACCTAGGTCCATGGACCAAGTAACTAAACCAATCTAACTCATTTTGTCAATGCTGTTCTAGATAATCTTGACTAATACACATGTGATTTTTTTTTCTGTCTTTTTGAGACAGGGTCTCCCTGTAGCCTCAGCTGGCCTGGAGCTCTCTATGTAGACCAGGCTAGCCTTGAACTCACAGATCTGTCTGCCTCTGTCTCCCGAGTGCTGGGATTAAAGGCATGTGCCACCATGCCCAGCATCCAAGCTTGCTTTTAAAAGGTCACCAAGTGTGCAGGACATGGTGGCACATGCCTTTAATCCCAGCATTTGGGAGGCAAAGGCAGGCAGATCTCTGTGAGTTCAAGGCCAGTCTGCTCTACATAGTGAGTTCCAGGGGCTACAGGGAGACCTTGTCTCAAAAAGACCAAAAAATAGCAATAAATAAATAGCAATCTTGGAGGTTAGAGATATAGAAATGTAACTTAGTTGGTAGAATGCTTTCCTAGGATGCACAAAGCCCTGTGTTTGTTCCTCAGCACTTCATAAACTGGGCATGGTATGCATGCCTGTAATCCCAGCAGCACTTGATAGGTAGAGACAGGAAGATCAGAAGTTCAAAGACATGGTTGGCTATGTAGAAAGTTCACAATCAGCTGCACTACATGAGACCTTGTCTTAAAACCAGTAGTTTCAAAAGCAGTTTTGAGGAAGAAGTGCCCATAGACTGAGGTGAACTGAAGCCTGTGAAGACAGAGGGCTTTGAAATTTGGAGATGAACAAGAGGGGATTACAGGGACTGGAGGTGCTAGGAAATACTGAAAGGCAGATAGTTTGTAAGTGGTTAACTGCTGGGAAGGAAAAGGAAGGAGGCTTAAAAAGAAAGGAGGCATTGGTAAAGATGAAGGTACATGTAGGGCAGTGTACCCTGTGAGAGTAGACACCAAATGAGGAGAAAGTGGAGGAGTGGAACAAGTAATGTGAGAGTGGAAGCCTTTTTGAATCTGGATAGTCTGTTACCAGTCTTGGCACCACCATTTCTGTTCATGCCCTCCAAATCCAACTGCCAACCACTGATAAAAGCTGAAGGCTCTCTTTAATCATGGGGAAGGATCCACCCATGGGCAGACTATCAGTCAGGCAGGCCAAAGTATTAATGCTCCCAAACAGCTCTCAAGAGATGATTGATGAGGATTTGAGAATGAGCGCCTTAGTTCCACTTGCTCTTGGGAGCAGTAATAATGTGCAGTCCATGTTCCTACATCAGCTCCCAGAATCCCCAGCAGGATTTGGTCCCAGTTACCCATAGTGGTGACTTGACTGATGACACCTTCTTTATTGGCTGCTTTCCCTTGTCTCCTTGCTACTCCTTTGCTGGTGCCTCCTGGCTTTACCTCCCACACTAGCTATATGCACTTGTGTCTTTGTCTCCAGATCTGCTTTGAGGAAGACAAACACTGTACATGAAGTGGGGGGAACAAAGCAGGCAAAGACATCTAGGAGCTGTTCCCCCAGGGCCCTCCATGACTTGCCTAATAATCTGAATGTTCAATAGACAGGCTGGGTCAAGGTTTGAATCTGAGGTAGGTGGGTCTTTGTGACACCCATTTGGTTTCACTTGAGCCCAAAGTTGGCTAGAGGCAGGCTCTGTACCTTCAAGATCGACTGATCACCTCAGGCCTCAATCTCAGGACTTAGAGGATGAGGCCAGAGTGACCCATCTCTGGGGCCTCTGGCCTCTGATTTTTCTAATTCATCACCTGCTCAGATCTAACCAAGAATAACCTACTTCCCTGTAGAGAAGGTCCTGGGGCTAGCACACTCTGTGCCTCCACCCCACCTACTACAGGTCTCTATGTATCCTGCTTTGTGTCCTGGTTAGGGGAAGGAAGCTGACCGGCCCCCAACCAGGGACCCAGGCTCTAGCCCCGAGTGGCCTCCAGGGGGCGCCGCCGCGAAGCTCGTGCTTGGCCACGTCCAAGCTCAGTTGTGATGGGCGGCTCCGAGCCCTAAAACCCCCAGGTTACACTAGCTAGCGCCCGGCCCATTGCACCTAGGCTGGGTCCGACTCGGAACGACCGCTTTCCCCCGCCGTACCCGTGTTGTGCCGCTCGCCGCTGCCTCATTGCTACCATCACCCGAGGTCACACCCCAAATCCTGGCAGGCCCGGGGTGTCCGTATACAGGTTTGTCGGTTCGTTTGTGTGTGAGAGTGGTTCGGAGCGCCCTATTCCTGCCATGGCATGTTCAGAGTTAAGGCAGGAGGAGGTTTCCCCCAGTCTGGGGGGGGGGGGGAGCGAGGGGCGGACCCGGTCCAGCCCCGCCCCACGCCGGAGCGGTGCGGGAGCCCCACCGGAGCCCGGCTTCAGCCCTAGCCACAGCCCGCGTTAGCGGAGGCGGAACGGCGGATCCCGTGCCCCCGCGACATCAGAGACTCAGCCGGTGAGTCCCGCGGGAGCCGCGCTCAGGGGAAGTTTGGGGCATGAAGCAGAGAGCTTTAAGCTCACTAGCCAGATCCGCCCCCCGCCCCCTCTTTTTGAGCTGTAAGTTTGAGGCCAAGAGGCCATCCTGACAGGTCCAGGGACTGAGAGTGGAGCCCCCACACTGCAAAGGGGAGACTAAGAAACTTGAGGGATGTGCTCTTAGGGGACCCAGAAGTCCAGATGTTTATTCCTACAGGAAAAACCCTGGATTCAGGAACCCTGAAATCTTGTAGTCAAGAGGTAACACACCCCCACCCCCACTGCCAGAGCAGCAGAGAGCCTGTTGGCATGGGCACACCCCTGAGGATGGGCTTCAAAGGGAGTGTGGAGGCCTGGTATCCGTCCTCCTGAGTCCCATACACCCCAGACTCTGGCTTTTTGCTGGTTGAATGTTTGAACCTTGTGGAATGGGATGTTCCTTGTTGTAAGGACTGTAGGTGGGAGACCCTGATGGCTGAGCCCATGTTGTACAAAGCACACTAGAAGCCAGTATACACAGGATTCTGGACTCCTCTCTTGTAGAGAACCAAGATAAGACTTGTGGGTAAGGAAGGGCACTAAGATGGAGAGTCAGGTCTAGTCATTTGCCTTCTCTTCCACTCAGACTGACCAAGTTGCTAGTTGCTAGTGGTTAGGGCAGAGGGTGGGGAAATAGGAGTGAGGAAGCTGTCTTAGTATCTGAGGTCTGCTTACTGTCCCACTCCAGAAGATTCTCCACCAATGGTGTGCTAGTCAGTGGGGCAGGGGATCCTTCCCTTGCCTTTCTCACCAGTGATTTTGGGTTTTCCCTGCCTTCAGCTATATGTTGTGCATCTATTTCCTGAGGGGCTTATCAGTGGCTCTGATCCTTTATTTTTCCCTTTCTCCTCCAGGTGAAGTCAAGGTCCCTTGGACTGGTCAGATACACCCTTACACCATTGGCAGAATCAAGATGAGGCCTTGTCATGTCCCCCTAGTGAGGCCCACAGCCTAAGCAGATAGCATGGCCTATCACTGGCAGTGAATGAGATGGCTGCAGGAGGTGGCCGGGCCTTTGCTTGGCAGGTGTTTCCCCCCATGCCCACTTGCCGGGTATATGGCACAGTGGCACACCAGGATGGGCACCTGCTAGTATTGGGGGGCTGTGGCCAGGCTGGGTTACCTCTGGACACTGCTGAGACACTGGATATGGCCTCACACACATGGCTAGCACTGGCACCCCTTCCCACTGCCCGGGCTGGTGCAGCTGCTGTGGTTCTGGGTAAGCAGGTGCTAGTGGTGGGTGGTGTGGATGAGGTCCAAAGCCCAGTAGCTGCTGTGGAGGCCTTCCTGGCTGATGAAGGCCGCTGGGAACGTCGGGCCACCCTCCCTCAAGCATCCATGGGGGTTGCAACTGTGGAGAGAGGTGAGTGACTTATCAAGGAAGTTCCTTCAGGTGCCACAAAAGCTTTCATTTTCTTTTCTCCCCACTTGGTACTTATCCTCAGAGACTGGATAGGTGCTACCCTGGACATGGCGTTGCCTCTTGTATCCTCTCTTTCCTAGCTTATAGCACCCTGCTGTTAACTGCTTTTTTTTTTTTTTCTGGGCTACGAGGTGGGTGTCAGAGCCCAGACTGGTCCTCAGAAAGGTGGGAGACCCTAGCCACTACCCTGTCCCATTCTTTGTTACTAAGAGACAGTGGGGGGGTGTGGCCTAATGACTCTCATGGTTATAAATAGTCTGGAATGGAGGAGGGGAGCAAGGTTATAGCACCCTGCTGTTAACTGCTTTTTTTTTTTTTTCTGGGCTACGAGGTGGGTGTCAGAGCCCAGACTGGTCCTCAGAAAGGTGGGAGACCCTAGCCACTACCCTGTCCCATTCTTTGTTACTAAGAGACAGTGGGGGGGTGTGGCCTAATGACTCTCATGGTTATAAATAGTCTGGAATGGAGGAGGGGAGCAAGGCTTTGGCTCAGAGCCCAGCAAGTGCTTAAGTGCTTAGACCTCCCCCCCCCCACACCGCCTGAACACCAGGGATCCTGATGTGGACAAAAACCACACAACCTTGGAATGGAGGAGGGGAGCAAGGCTTTGGCTCAGAGCCCAGCAAGTGCTTAAGTGCTTAGACCTCCCCCCCCCCCACACAGACTGACCACCACGGACCATATGGGGGACAAAAGCCAACCAGACTTGGAAAGCTATACTTACAAACCCCCGCTGTTAACTGCTTTTTTTTTTTTTTTCTGGGCTACGAGGTGGGTGTCAGAGCCCAGACTGGTCCTCAGAAAGGTGGGAGACCCTAGCCACTACCCTGTCCCATTCTTTGTTACTAAGAGACAGTGGGGGGGTGTGGCCTAATGACTCTCATGGTTATAAATAGTCTGGAATGGAGGAGGGGAGCAAGGCTTTGGCTCAGAGCCCAGCAAGTGCTTAAGTGCTTAGACCCCCCCCCCCCCCACACAGACTGAACACCAGGGATCCTGATGTGGACAAAAGCCAACCAGACTTGGAATGGTTGCCATGGAAGCCCCCAGCTGCCTGGCACATCACCCATAGGCCTCTAGACATGCCCCTCACTGACTCTAAGGGCCTAACAGAAAGCAAGAATCTACTCTAGTGAAACAGCATGGAATAGAGGTGCTGTCTAGGCTACTGGGGCTGAAGGCCAGCACCTCTATCCTACAGGTCCAAGCTCCTCTCCCAGCTCTATGCCCTTCCTCAGCTGATCCCCTCATTTCCCTACCCAGATAGCTTCATGCTGAGCAGATCTTATACCCTCCATTCCTGGCTTAAACCTCCTCCCCTCCCCACTTAGAGGAGCCCTCCCATCTTGTGGCCTCTAGGTCTGACCACCAGTCCAGGCCAGCTTGCTTGGATGCCAGACTTGGTTGCCATAGCGTCTCTAGGGAGACCATACTGGATTATAATTAGATCTGCTGCCTCCTGCTCTTCACTTGAAGGGGCCCAGGCCAAAGCTGGAATCCCAGTTCTCCTAGCTCCCACTTAAGATGGGTAACAGGATTTTAAACAGACAGTGGGTCTCTTTCCACCCCTGGGCTTGAACCAAGGCAGCTGTCAAGGTGGGATGCCCTGGCCAGGCTCGGGTGCAGTCTGAACTACTCTTTTCTGTGCAGATGGCATGGTGTATGCTCTGGGGGGAATGGGCCCTGACACGGCCCCCCAGGCCCAGGTACGGGTGTATGAGCCCCGCCGGGACTGCTGGCTTTCGCTACCCTCCATGCCCACACCCTGCTACGGGGCCTCCACCTTCCTGCACGGGAACAAGATCTATGTCCTGGGTAAGGGCTGGGGGATGTGGGAAAAGGGAAAAGAGCCTAGATATCTGTTTCCCCCTAGATTGGCTGGGTTAGGGATCAGTTCTTCGTCTGAGATTTGAGAAGCTTTGTTGGGGTAATCTGAGACCTTTCTGGTGGCCCTACTGGGGTTGGAAAATTCAGTGCCTAAAGGTGTATGGGGTCTCATGGATGATCTATGAGAACGTGTTTACACAGCTAAGTGTGGGAGGCTTGGGTAGACAGCTCAACTTGGCAAATGAGGATTGCACCAAGCTCCCTGGGCTCCCTCCTAGGTGCCCCAATTCCCTTGACAGGAGGCCGCCAGGGCAAGCTTCCAGTGACTGCTTTTGAAGCTTTTGATCTGGAGACCCGTACATGGACCCGGCACCCAAGCCTGCCGAGCCGCCGAGCCTTTGCTGGCTGTGCAATGGCTGAAGGAAGCGTCTTTAGCCTGGGTGGCCTGCAGCAGCCTGGGCCCCACAATTTCTACTCCCGCCCACACTTTGTCAACACAGTGGAGATGTTTGACCTGGAGCATGGTGAGCAATGACTGTTCTGGCTATCCTACTCTCCATGGGATGGAAGAGCATTGTGTGAACGTGTGTGTGCATACATCTGACGTTTCCTCTCCTGCAGGGTCCTGGACCAAGCTGCCTCGCAGCCTGCGCATGAGGGATAAGAGGGCTGACTTTGTGGTTGGCTCCCTTGGGGGCAACATCGTGGCTATTGGGGGTCTTGGTAAGTTTCTGTGGGGCTGAGGAAAAGAAGGAACAAGGAGTTCCTTCTAGCAGGAGAACCCTCTTCTCTAGGCTCTAGGGATCAGAGTTTTGTGAGCTCTTCCCTCATCCATAAAGTAGGGACATTGTGGTTTGCCTGGTGGCCCAACTCTCAGAATGTCCCCCAGTGCCTGACTGAGGGCCCTACATCAGCAGGGGCCTAGAAGACTGAAGCAGGAATGTGACCAAGTCAGTATCAAAGCATGAATGAATTAATGAATGAATGAACAAATTATGACCTTGGGCAAGACACTGATAGTCCAACCTGGGGTAGTACTTATTGAGCCATTCTCTGGGTAAAGGGAGCACTGGAGCCCCAGACTATCATCTATCTCCTTCCTTCAGGAAACCAGCCATGCCCTCTGGGCTCTGTGGAGAGTTTCAGTCTTGCACGGCGACGTTGGGAGACACTGCCTGCCATGCCCACAGCCCGATGCTCTTGTTCCAGCCTGCAGGCTGGGCCCCGGCTATTTGTTATTGGGGGTGTAGCCCAGGGCCCCAGTCAAGCTGTGGAGGCACTGTGTCTGCGTGATGGAGTCTGAAGGCCTGGTGGGACCTGTCTACCAGAGCTGAAACAGAACTCTGGCTCCTTTTTGCTGCTGAGGGAGCTCCCCATGGCTCTGTAGGATAAGGGAGGCAATAGGAGAGGGCACTTGAGTCACTGCCTTGGGAACTTGGGTTGGGGGAGCCTTTGTCTTTAGCACAGGACACACATATTCACACCTACCTTTATCACCATCCATTCATGAACTGTACTTAGCTCCACCCATGCCCTAGAACTTACTAGGCCCTCTTGTCAACTGGGAAGTGGAAAGAGTGTTGTTGGCTTTATATTCTACAGGATAGGCACTAAGAATTGAGCAGGCCCATTCCAGTGGTCATTCTGGAAAAGCCCTAGCTTCTAGCCTGCCTTGAGGGTCCCAATAGACCCCAGGAGTATTCAGAGAGTGTGGGGGGACACAGAAGAAATAGAATGTGGGGACTATTAGAGGACCAGAAGAATGTTGGCTTTGGGCCGTCTACACTGATGGTTGTGTGACCTTGGGCAAGTCATTTCACCTCTCTGTGCCTCAGCATCCTCATCTGTAAATGGGGATCTCTGAAACCTTCCTGCCCTACCTACCTCACAGGGATGTTGTGAGGACCCAGGGAGTTTTGATGTAGAAGTAAAAGTACTGCTAAAATCTGGTGTGTGACTCCTGTTGTGGACTCCCATGTTCTCTTTCAGCTGAAAGAGTCTCTTTTGGAGACCTCAACTTTCCCAGGGATGAGGGTCCTAAGGAAGCCTCTTGAGTCTGGCAACTTCACCTAAAGTGACCTGGTGTTTCAACTCCACTTAAGCCTCAAGTTTTGCCTTATGTGACGGAGGATTTCTTAAATGTTGGGGTCATTGATGATCAGAGAAGAGCTCCAAAAGCAGTAAGACTTCACAGGGTTAGGATAACCTCCAGATCCAAGTCACATAGCCGCTCCTTAGCGCTTCTGCTACCTCTAAAGGGAGCAGTGGCTCAGTGGAGGTAGTAGCTGGGGCAGTTTCCTTGTGTCCCAAGTATAAGGCAGGCATCTCTTGGGTAGGACTGAATGGATAATCTGCCAGACTCTTCAAGTCATCTGGTTCCTCCTGGAGGAAGCTACCAGCCCTAGCCTCTCCCTCCAGCTTTTACTGCTCAGTAGTAGGAGCCTCAGGTTCCACTTTCCCTGCAGCTGCACTGAAAACAAGAGGCTGCAATTACTGGGTCCCTAGAATCTACCTATTGTCATGGCAACCTTCCTGGACTCTGAGTCTTCTTCAGGCTTTATTCCTTCTCACTTAGTGAAAAGACTGCCTGGACAGCACCTCCCTAGCTCAGCACAAAGACATCATGGACACAGATGTTATGGGATCCAGGCACAGGACCTGGTAGTAAGCAGGGAAAACCATATTCACAGGCCCCTGATGCATCTTGGGCTGTAAGTACAGACAGGCTGCTATGTCAACTATTACTGTTTAATGCTTGGGACCAGTTTAAACACTTAGAAACTCCAGCATGAAAATAGTGCTGCAGCAGCTGGGGCCTTGGGATCCCAGGGAGGTCAGGCAGTATAGCAGTGACTGGCTCTTGGGATCTTTCTTTGGTGCTACCACAATGGACACCCCGGGATGGCTGGCAGAAGTTGTGCTCATAGGTGGTATTGGCATAGGGAAGCTAGACCTGCATAAAGTGCACAAAGCACTGGGGGAGGCTACTGAGTCCCATGTCTGACTGGAAATCAGTCTGATAGGAGGATTCCAGAGGCCCCTGCTGGCTCATCTCCAGTTCACAAGGTGCCCAGTGCAGAAAAGTGTGTCTCTTCCACAGACATTCTAGGTCTTTCCATCTTCTAATTCCCTGTAGCAGGGAGTAGGGGCCCTTCTCAATAGTACGGGCCCTTGGCCCACAGTCTTGGCACCAGGAATTGCTTAGGCCCTACCTAACTCCAAGTCTGCCTGATTATGCCTGGACTGTGCCAGGCCTCCCTGGTCTGTACCCTGCATCCTCATTCTAGCATGAAGCCCCTGAGTAGTCAGTGATTCCTAGGATACTTGCACACTGGTAAGCTAGCCAAGGAAACCAAGGCAGAATTGCCTTTGTCTGGGGAATGGGCTTTTATCCCAGTGGAAAAAAGTTGTTAAGGAAATAGATGTTGTTTGACCTGTTTAAGGAACCCTTGTTCTCCTGAAGATCTCATCCTCTGCACCCTCCTATCCTTTCCACTCTGTCCTCAACTTCGACCTAGGCAGGGGCTCCTCCTTCTTCCTCTTTCCAGTACTCACTTTGTCAAAGGAAGTGCGGTTGTCATGCTTGGAGAAGTGCTGTCGTGCAGGTTCCTTGAAAGAAGATGAGAAGGAAGATGAAGCAGGTGGGTGGCAAACCATGCTTATCCTCTCCTGCAGGTAGTACATCAGGGCCTATCATCGGGGGAAGCTGCAGGAGCCACCACTTATAAATTGTTAAACTACCAATACACCAAAAGGGCAGAGACAAATGAAAGTAGTAACACACTCCAAGTGTCCCCGACCGCTTTCCGTCTCGCCGGCAAGAACGACGCGGGAGGACAAGTCAGGATCCTTCTGCAGCAGTTTATTGT